AACCAAACAAATGAATCAACTTTCTTTTCCATTCCATTCCCATTACCATAGTTATTCCCATTCCCATGATCATTTCCCCATTGTAACCAAACGCACTCTAAGGGTGAAATAACCCTTCTCAAAATTTAGGAGGCATGTTGAAATAACTACTTAGTTTAGGAGTATTTATGAAATTAATCCATCAAATTTTAATGGTTGAAAACTTGAAATAAAAAGGGTATTTTATAAAATTTAGAAATATATATATTAAAATTTAAACGGTCTAGTACGTTTAGACTATTCCTCAAGTTTGATAAATCAGACTAAACCGTTTTTGAAACAACGAGATCCAATTTTACACCACTCTAAAAATAATAATGACGTGGAACTGGACTGATAATCTAAAACTTTAAGTTTATTAAATGAGTTGCAATATCTTTTGCACAACTCTAAAAAGCAATTATCCTAAATATATCGTCTAAAAAGAATTGACCTATCCAAAGACCAAAATAAATAAAGGGTTATTAGCACCATTGCTGTTTGAATTATGACATATGTTGTTTTAGTGTGACTTTTTAATTTTTACAAATTAGTCCTTGAACTTCAATTTTTTTTTTTTACAATTTTATTATTCTCTGTCTTTCATAAAAAATTGGTAAATGACATGTGAACTTTCTCATAGATAATCATCTACTAGTGGCTTAATAATTGTAAATAATACATAAATAATTACATCAATTGCAAAATAGTCTAGTTTTTAAGGAGTTTTAACAACAATTAATAATTTTTAAAGGTACACAAATACTAATCTTACTCATTATATTCGAGATTATGGTCTACTTCTACATACCCAGCATGCAGTTACTGTTTCATTTTTTCATTGAGGGAGAGGTGCAAAATAAATTAATTTAATTTTTCGATCAAAAGTACTGTGTGAAATCTGAGAGTGCGTTTAGAACTCGTTCCAAAATAATTTTATTTTTTGTATGGAAATGGAAATAAAAATGTTTTCAATCTCAAACATAAATTATTTTTGAAAATGCGTTTGGTAAGTTTATTAAGAGATTATTTTTAGTATAAAAAATCTATTAATGTCTCTCCTTGCTCGAGAGAGGAGAAAACAAAAACAAAAAATGAAAAACGACTAAAAGTCGTTTTTCATTTCTCTCATATTTTACACTAAACTAAAAAATCGTTTTCATTTCTTTTTTTATCTTAATTGTTCCAAACCCCGTTTTTATTTTTTTTCTCGAAAAATGTGAAAAATAAAAACAAAAATAATTCCAAACACAGCCTAAAAGTCATTTTTTATTTCTCTTCCATTTTACACTAAACTAAAAAATCATTTTGATTTTGATTTTTTTGTCTTTAATTGTGCTAAACGCCGTTTCTCTCTTATTTTCATTTTTTTCTCAAAAAATGTAAAAAATAAAAATAAAAACAACTCCAAACACAACCGAGTTTTTCCTCTGTGTTTCTATCTACAGGTACATTGTTTTAAAAATCGAATTTGTCCGATCTCATAAGTGATAAAGGTAGTAAAAAAAAAAGAAAAAAAAAAGAAAAGAAGAAAAAGAAGAAAGAGTTATCCTTTTTCGTTTTATTTTTCTTTTTTTTATCTCCTCGATGAAAATGGGTAAAATAACACTTGATGCGGTTATTGTATTCAAATTTATATAGTTTTTATACTTAAAAATACAACTATAAATCAAATACAAAAGTTTTTGAAAAGAAAAATCAGAAGAAAGTATTAAAGAGAGAAGGGAACAAAAAAAAAAAAAAAATAAAAAAGGTAGAATGCACATGTAAACATAATGGAAGCTGCCATGTAATAAAACTTCTTGTTGAATGTTGATACCTTCTTCCCTATTGCTCCTTCTTCTTTTGATGCGGAGTATGCTCTCGTTTGTTGGCTAAATAAACGACTGTTGTAAACGAAACTGAAAAATCTGATCCAATCTAACCTAATCAAATATTGGTTAGCATGTTGGTTAACTGTATTTTGAAACATGAAAAAATAATTATTTACTTATAAAATTACATATCTAACTAGTGAGAAACACAGACTCATCAATTATAGGATTATGACGTAATCATTTTTAGAAACACTACTCATCAATTATGCTATTATAACACAATAATTTATGAATTTATCATTATTTTTAACGCCATCGATTAAAACTGTTTAAAAAACAACAATTAAGAAATAATTTATTAAAATAAAAAATTTAATTACTTAAAATAACACAATGTTCATATCGTAATTAAAAAGTAATAACAGTATTAATAACCCACAAATAAAACTGACAAATGTTAAAATAAGAAAGCTTTTTAAAAAAAATATACAATAAATAATGCCTAAATAAATATATAAAAATTCCCAATATTTTTGCTAAATAAACAGTTATAACGCACGTTTATTTTATATATTCGTCTTTAATTTTAAATTATAATTTATAATTTTTTATAATATATTTTTTAAAAAATATGTATAAAATAATAATAATTTTAATTATGATTCTAAATACATAAACTAAATATCTCCGCTGATTACTAATCAGTTTAAGTGCATTGTGGAAAGAAGAAAAAAAAAAAAAACCCTAGAGGTCTGATAAAGCTCGCCATTGATCCCCAGCCGTCGAACATCCGCGCGTAGGCGACCGTGCGAGCGCCGGAGACCCACCGTCTGTGCGAGCACCGGAGCCCATTTTCCTAATCTTTCCGCTGATTTTCAAGCGACGCGCTAGCCAAGCCGAGAATGGTTGGTTTTCTGATTATAATTTTTGTTTGAAATTGAAGTTGAATTTGGGTTGACTATAAGTTGCGATTTTGTGGTGGAAAAACCAAGTCTTTGTGGATATTTGAACGTTTATGTTGTAAATTATAGTCGTCCATTTCCCTTTGCTTCTATTCTATGATGGGATTTCGTAGATTTTACAAATCTTGAAATGGGCTGCTTTTGGAATGGAAATCTTAGCTCATTGGTTAAAAGTGGTTATGGCGGAGTTTCGCCATTTGGGTTATGTGGCTGTTGTAATTTGCAAAAGGGGTTTGCCTTGTAAATATGAGATTGAGAAATTGAGGAGTGTGAACAATGGAGATAATAAACAGGCCTATTTGGGAAAATAGAAAACAGTGGGTTGACAAGGAGAAACATATTTTTTTAAGGTTAACTGTAAGAATGAGAAGAGCTTCAAAGTTTGTCATTTTTGTTTGAAGTTGAAGTTGGGTTTAAAGATTATTGAAGTTTTGTGTTTGATATTTTAATTGACATTTAATTAATGTTTGGCAATTAGTTTATGGAATTCGTTTTACTGTGGAATTTGTTGATAGTGATTGTTGCTTTTGGACTTTGTTTGATTGTTGAGAATTGCTATTGTGATTAGTTTGTGTGTTTTGCTATTTGTCATTTTTTTTGTTTATTATTTTTTCTATTTTTCTAAGATTGATGTTAGTTTGATTAGTTTGATATTTGTTGTAAATTGGGTTGTGCAATTGGTTAGATATTGTTAGAGGTTCATATTTGTGAGATTTCTTTAGGATCTGTGGATTTACTTTGATATTTTTTGTAAATTGGGTTGTGTGGTTGGTTGGATATTGTTAGACTTAGAAGTTCATATTTGTGAGTTTTCTTTGGGATCTGTGAATTTACTTTGATATTTATTGGAAATTGATATGACTATGGTGTTTTAAAATGTTTGATTTTTATGTCATTTTTTTATACCAGAATTGCAAGCAATATAACAACGACATTTGACTATGTAATTTTAGACTGTAATTTTGATCTTCATATTATGACTTAATTTGGATTATGTAATTTTTATCTTCTTATTATGACTTATTTTGGACCATATAGATGTTATATTCATGTCGTGACTTACTTTGCACTACATAATGCTTCTAGATATACTTTGGATTAGATATGTTTCTATGTAGTATGCCACTTCAGTGGATCAAGGATATCTTGATCATTTTGAAATATTGCAAATGTAAACTGTCCAACAATATTACTATTAAAACGGGACTTTTGAAGAAAAGAAAGGACGAGAAAAAATCATTTTTCATTCCATTAGAGCTAAAAGTATGGTTACAAGTGTGTAAAATCAATTGTACTCATTTTTTGGTGCTAGATGTGTTTTATAGCACTATATATAGCCGGAAACTTTTTATGATGCAGGGAGGGGCATTTTGGGCTGTTTAAAATATTTAACATTCAAACTAAGGCTTTCCGTCACAGTCGATTGACCGAGGGGGTGTTCTGTAATATTTTTCAAAAAATTGAGAGGTGTTTCCATAATTTATTCTGTTAAAGGGGATGTCTCTGTTATTTTGGCAAAACTTAGAGGGTGTAAGTGTAAAAATCTCTTCATTCGAGGCTTATGTCTCGATCCATTTTGAGGCTTGCCTTGCTTCGATTAGTCAAAATGCCTCGGTTCCTGATTTCATCTTTTAAAACTACGCGTGTATGTGTATGGCATGTTTTGTTTCAATCAAGGCCATCAAAATATATTTGTTCTGTGGTTTGCATACTCCTGTTGCACTTAGCCCTTGTGCTTTTTGTTTAACTGTTGTTAAATTTACGCAATTCTTTCTTTCTTCCTGTACGCAGTCTTCTTTCTGATATTGTTGCCTTGCTTTGCTTTCTGACAGAATTTTATGCAAGATGAAGATATTCGTTTAGAGACTACGCGAGCTAGATGTAAGTTATCTATATTGTTTAGGGGGAAAAGAAATCCCTATATGTTTGCCTTGATTTCATAAATTGCTTCGAATTCTTACTATTTTTTAAGGGAGTAAAGCTTCTTTTTTTGCGTGACAGTTTCAAATGTTCTCAAAAGGCATGGGGAGTTAACGGAGCGCCTTTCAGGGTAATTTTCTTTGTTCTTTACTTTAGCTATTTAGTCTGCCTTTTTGATTTCACACACTTTGACATCTGAGTCTTGATAACTTGTTTAAACTAGGTTTGGATTGCAGCATGTATTAATACTACTTTGTGGGGTTTAATTGATTTGAATAGGGATTCTGACAAGATGATATTTGAGCGTCTACAGAAGGAATTTGAAGCTGCTCGAGCTTCTCAAACTCAAGGTAGCTTCATGAATGAACTTCTCAAATGCTGTGGTGCAGATTAAAGTTTTGTAACTTAGGACAACGTGAAAGCAGATACAGATAGTGTAATTAGATTAAGAGAAGCAATTCAACTTGTGTGGAATTTTATGTGTTCCCTATTCTCTGTTCAATAACTGGTTTCATAAGTATGCATTTTTTTCTTCAAAGAATCGTAAATTCATTTTATTTTTTATTTTTTGTTTTTGGTTTTTTGTTTTTTTCTTCTTGTTTGACTAAGAAATGTTTTTCTTCTTCTTTTAGAGATTTTTTTAGATGGCGAACAATGGAATGATGGGCTATTAGCTACAATAAGAGAGCGGGTATGGTATCATATGGTACACTTAAGTGTTTGGCTCACTTTGAAAATTTGGTGTTATTATTGTATGCTTTGGGATGTTAATATCTAATGGTATTTTTCATTCTGTAGTTTTACTTCTCAAGTTTCTTGATGAACGTGTAAATGCCTTATAGTTTACCTGGGTTTATCAGGTTCACATGGAGTTAGACAGAAAGGCAATGCCTGGAGATGCAAACATGTCTTCAGGTCCTCATTTTCAGGAAAGAATTACTTATAAAGCAGGAAGTAAGGTAATAATATTAATTCTGCGAAGTTTGTTTCATCGATACAAGTAGTTTGAATGGTGATGCCTTTTTCCTCAGCTTGAATAGCCTTAAAGAAGTCTCACCTTTTCAAGACTAAGATGATTCGAATCCCAATTACTAATAGATGCTAGATATTTCTTGTTCGTTATAAAATCATAGTTTTCATCTTTTTCCTCCTAAAAGAGCAATTTTAGGAGCTTTGTGATCTTTGCAACATCAAGTAGCTTATCTAAGAGAGAGTTCCTACTGTTGATTGGATTTCAGAGAAGTCACATCCATGACAGTTGCAATCCTGCTGCATATCATGGATGGGATTTTAAGAAATAAAAAGACAATTTTACTTCGGAAGTTGGACTACATAACAGTGTATTCTAACTTTTCTAGTTATAGCAAAGGCTCTTCTTGTGCAGAGACCAAAACCTGAAAATTTGCGTTGCGAATATAAATTCTAAATTGAGCATGTAGGAAAAAGGGGAAACTAATTTTATTCGTGTGAATCTTCTGAATTAAGTGTGTGGGTAAAGGAACATGGATATCAATACAATGCTGTACTATGATGAAAACTGTTAGTGATGAATAAATTTTAAAAATTACTTGTCACTTTTACAGACTCAGTGCAGCATTATTACAAGTAAGGGAACCTATTTCCTTTTATTCATAATTCTATTGCATTCTGCTTTCTGGATGATAAGTTCTTTAATGGTTGCGTGTTTGTTGTCAGGTGATTTGCTGTTTGGAAGGGGCGAGAATTGGAATACAATACGAGACATCTTTTGCTGGTACGTTTGAAGTGATTTTCAGATATTTACTTGTGCACGTAAAAAGTAGTCTAGGCATCATGTCATGTTATTCCCATTTAATGAAAAAGGTAAAAAAAGTATTCTTTAGTGCTCATTGTCTTCCACTTTTTCCCCTTGTCATATCTCGATATTGATATGTTTGTTCTCTAGGATGGTCAACAACTCCATATTTTGTGTTTTATTCATTTCCTTTCGTCTTTATTGATGATATCTCATTGTTTTTTCCTTTTAATTGATTAAATTATCGAAAGATTTTTATTAAAAAAATGGTTTTTATAACTTTATGAGTTTAGCACTTGCATAGAAACCAATATCCTGTTGCCAATCTTGTACTTGTAGTTTGAATCTTGGGCATTGACATAATGGGTCATTTGGCGCCTTCTTTTAATTGATGTAAAGGGTCAGTTAAAGCTTATACTGAAAGAAAACATCTGAATTGGAAGTTCTGAGGTTGTAGGCATAGTTGTGATATGTTGGCTGTAGCAATGAGGGAAAGCTCTCATCTATTCTCTCTTCTTTTTTTTTTTTTTTTTTTTTTTTTTTTTTTTTTTTTTGCAGGAGAACCTTGCGAGTTGTATCATTGTGTGCTAGAGAGCAAGTCTTTTCTTGAAAAGATGACTGTCCTTGAACATACGATTCCATTTTTTCTGCCATTAAGGGAAGCTGAAAATGATCTTCTATCCTCAAATGCTATGGTAAGGTTGGTTACTTGCATTGACTTTGCTGACTTGTGCTTGCTTTTATTTTTAACTCATTCTCAGCATTGGTCGTTAACGTTTTTTCTCCAGAAATTTATAGATTACATCGGAGAACTTTTACAGGCTTATGTGGATAGACGGGAACAGGTATGATGTTGTTAGAGTGTGTTTAAGTTGTTTTCTCTTGGTTAGAAAAATGAAGTCGTGGTCTGCCAAGATTTTATTACTTTAGACTAGAGTCCAACGATGTCTCCTCTTATTACGGTCGAAAAGGAAATAGGGAAAGCATAATGAAGTATTTTTACCAATTTTTGACGCCAATTTATAGTGCGTCTTTTAGGCTACAAACTTGATACTAATCGTTGACTTTTTGCACCCGGCCTAAACAAATGCCGTATCATTTGATACCAAAATTTGGTGAAAAAGTTTGTTCTCTGTAGCAATACTCTTTTTTGACAATAACATGCTTTACTAAGCTATTACTGAAGTCTCAAACTTCCCTACTCTTATGCAGGTTCGGCTTGTGAAGGAGTTGTATGGAAACCAAATTGGAGAATTGTATTATAGCCTTCCCTACCATATGATAGAGTTTTCCCTTGATGATTTTGATTGGTCAGTGCATTTTCTCTATTGTTTTTTTCCCTGTTTACTATATAGCTCCCTTTTTTTTTTGGGTCAAGCTTACCTAAATCTAAGGTGTTTCAAGAATCTCTCTCTCTCTCTCTCCTTTTTTTTTTTTTTTTTATTCTGTATTCTAGATGTATGATTGTGTCGAGGTTTATTTTCTAGGAGGCCCATAAATCATGCTTTGAAATTAAAGAAAAAATCTGGATTTTGGGAATAAAGAAAAAATCTGGATTTTGGGAATACAGAAAGGAATGTAGGTGATGATCCAAGAATCTGAAAAAGAATTTTGTGTTCTGCAATGAGAATTATATCTTAAAAAAGGAAAAGTAAAGAATAAACTTCTTTTTCGAATAGAAGCTGCTTAATATATAAAATAAATTTCTCTATACTGCTGCCTCATTTTACTTCTCTTTTTTTTTTTTTGGAAAATTTTGCAAAAATCATGCTTGTCGATCCACTTGCAATGCTTAAACAATGATGTACATGGTGTTAAACCTTTGTTTTCATGGTCCCATTGCAAATTATCTCTATAAGATATCTAAACTGGTATACAAGTAGAAACTAGTTCATTGCCATTATCAGAAAACTTTGTCGGATTAAGTTTTCACCATGCTGAAGAATGCATGTCTTTTGTTGCAGCAAGGTAACTGTTGCACTTAGATATACAGATCTGCTCTCTGTACTTCCTTCTCGTATCAGAGTACTAGCATGGCCAGTGCATCAATCCAAGAAAAATAGTTCAAATTTGATTACAAGTAGGAAGGAGAATGGAGGTATGGCAGGTCAACCCGGTCCTGTTCGTCTGTCCTATGCAGAGGATGCATTACGAACCATGAGCTTACCAGGAGGTGCTACTTCTTTCTAAGTGAATGCATTTTTTTACCTGTCTTTGTTGTTAGTGTAAAGGAATTCTGTTACCTCTTTCTCTCTCTCATCCCGCCTCCTTTCAAGTCAAACTGTGCAATTAAGACACCGAACACACACGTCCACGCATGCTTACCTGTATTTTTTGTTGAGCCTCCTCTCAAGTTAAACTGTGGAATTAAGACACCCAACTAATTATTTTTCTTTTTGTCATTCCCCCTTGAAATACAGACTCATGCCTGCGTGCTTCAGTATATTTTTTTGTTGATATATTCTTGTTTATGCTTGTGACGCTGGCTTTAGTAAGTCGAGTTTCCAAAGTCAATGCGGTTAATGCCGGGTGCTTGTCTATTGGTCTTGGATTATATCAAATGACATCAAAATAGCTTGTAGCTGAAGTCGACTTAAAGACCTTAAGGCCCTTTTTGTTTGTGTATTTTCTGTGTTCTGTGTTCGTATTTTCACGTGTTCAATATTGATTTCTGCTTCCGGTTCCAGCTTATGCAGAGATTGTGTTGAATTTGCCACGAGCTCTGCCGCAAATATATCAGCAAAGGACCCCCTCTTAATGCTTCGTCTCATTTCAGCAAAACCTTACTATGTACAAAAGCTAGAGGAGAGTTTGTTGGGGCTCTAGATGTTGTTTAGCAACTGAGTACAGATTTAACAGGGAGACCATTGCGAGGCGAAAATGGAGATAGGTTGGTTCTCATCATTTTGTATATTAGAAAAGTATATGATCCGGGTTTAGTACTGTCTGTGTCTAGTTGTCGATAAATTTTTTGTATCATTCGGTTTTGATTTCTATTGTCATGACTCCAATTTCATCAGATTCCTCTGACAGAACTCAATGTAATCTTTATGGCATTATAAAACTGATAAGTGAAATCATAGTCTTGCAGTTGTTATTGTATTGAGTCTCTCCCAACTTTATGTTTGTATGTGTGTGCGGATATATGTATATATATATATACACACATACACATACCTATATATATTATTCAACTTTATGTTTGTATGTGCGTGCGGATATATGTATACTAATCAAGGAATCAAGATGATTACGTTCAGTGAATTTTAAGCACTAAGGTTTGGGGTTTGAACTACACGTAGTGATTATCGCTAGCTGATGGGGGTGGGTTCTGTTCTTTGTTTGGTAGCAAATGGGACTGTTTCTCCTCCCTTTTGCTTGTGTAAAATATTCCTATTTCTTATATATATATATTTGAAAAAAAGGGAATACTTTAAACCATTTGACTATAGTAATAAAGTTAGTAAATTCCGGTAACATAATAGATCAGAAGTTACTTTTTTTTTTCTTTTTAAAAATAAAAGGGGTATTTCTCTAGTAGGATTAAAAAAAAAAAACTACGAGTAATTTTTTACTTTGAGTCATTAGATCTGTATTAAAAATTATATGTTTAATGTTCTGTATATTTTTTTAATTTAATTAAATTTTACCTAGATTTAACGGTCAGGAACTGATCTTATTGATAAGGAGGTTTTATCGGAGAAAGTCTGCAGATAAAAAACACTGGAGCAGGTTGCCAACAAGGATGAAAATATCTTTCATATTTCCGTCAATATTTTCATAAAATGACCTCATATTGCTAGCAAGAATAAATATTGAGAAATGAAAGAGTTATGGCAAGAAAGATGATTATTCTTCATGAAATTTCTACATTGATTTTTTGTTTTTTGGTTTAATCTTTTGTTGCAAGATTTTCTGGTTTGTAGCTTTGGTTTTGCCTTCAATTCTTTTTGTTCCTTTTTATGTTTTTGGGATAATTACGCTATATATATATATTATTATTTTTTTTTATTAAACACAAAACCTAAGGACAAAATGAGCTCTCACAAAAAATTGCACTTTGACTCTACTGGTCCGTTTTGCTCAGTCACATGCTAACAAGCTACAAGAACACAAAAAAGGTTTAGGGGGGCATGTGATATCATATGACAATGATCAGTTTTATAAAAATATGAAAGTAATTTACACAAAAGTAATGTGAAAATACTGACAATGGTTACGAGATATGATATCTTTATTTGTCATAGCATAGCATGGTAAAAGAACACTATTTGTTTGTTTGTTTGTTTTTTTTTTCTTTTACTTCTTTATAGCACGGTCCTACGAGGCTATGAGGTAAGTAAATGAGTGGCTACTTTTACCTTTACTAGTATTAAAGAGTGTCTTATTAGTCATTACTCGTGAAGTTGGTTTAAAGTAATTTCATGCCAAAAGTACTGCTATAATTACATCCTATAAATAATATAATGCAGGTAATGTACTGTAACACAGTGCTTTTATGTTTATATAACTTAGATTAGATATTGAAGGAGATTTGAAATTGATTTTATTTTTATTTTTTACGTTTTTTGAAAAAGAAAAAATAAAATTATTTTTAAAACGGTATTAGACGTAATGAAAATAATTTTTTAATTTAATGTAAAATGAGAGAAATGAAAAATGACTTTTAATTATTTTTTATTTTTTATTTTTGTTTTATCCTCTAGAACAGAGAGAGAGAGAAAGATAAACATTAATAAGTTTTTTTATACTGAAAATAATCTCTTGATAAAACTACTAAACGCATTTTCAAAAATGATTTCTGTTTGAGATTAAAAATATTTTCATTTTTATTTTCATACAAAAAATAAAATCATTTTAGAATGAGTTCTAAACGCGTTCGAAATGTTTTCAATTTTATTTTTCAAGACATGCAGCGCCAAACGCGTATCTCGGAACATTTTTAGTTTTTGGTCATTGAGAAACGTGAAAAACGTTTTTAAAATTGATTCCAAAAAGGCACATAATTTCATATTTTTAGAGGGGTAAAACTATAAATTAGATACATACATAATTAAAAAAAAAAAAGAATTAAGTGGGCAGCTCAACTTTGGGTCACGCGTAGCTCCGCCCCTGATTATATTGTATTCTCAAAAGTCACTATAAAGTTTTACTTTTGAGTTGTAAAATATTAACGAGTGTCAAAATACAACTGCTGCATTACAATTGTTTAGCCAAATACCATACTTTGCGTGTGTAATTGTCGCATTTGATTTGAGATGCGCCATTCTTTTTTATATTTTCCATTTTAAATGTTATGCTTTGTGCCCTCAGGAATCCATATAGGCTGTCAATGGAGAGAGAGAAAGTTGTAATGAATTACGAACCTTAAGCATAAACTCATTCACTGAAGTACATTGAGGAAAGGGAAAACCATTGAGCAAAAACAGTTTTTGTTTTTGTTTTTTTTCTGTTTTTTTGGTCGTGGTTTCTCAGTCCAATTCCTTGCCAAATTTATCTCAATCCCCCATGATTCTTAGTACCATCACTTTTCACAGAGTTTTGTCTTTTAAGTTGGTATGAAAAAAGGTCTGTAATCTCGTGATACAAATGTGACAGAATATTCGGTTTGTATCATTGACTTTGTGAAGGTGAAGGCTCTCTTATTCCCATTACCAATAATATCACGGTGTAAATATCGGTTCGTCCACTACCACCATAATCATGTGATTGCCACTTTGTAGAGAAACCGAGTGCAAGAAAAATTGTTCTTGAACACGAGTCCTTTAATGGCAGAAATTAAACCACGTGACAAGTTTTAGAAGGAAACTACTAACAAGCACTTGAGACCTAAAAGCATTACGCAAACCTGAAAAATGATCATAAATCCCCGGACTTGTGATTGCGTATATAGTTTAATTGTAGTTCCACGTTTAACTCCACCGTAAAGTGTAGATTTTAAAACTCATTTTTTAAATTTAAAAATCGTAAAAAAAAAAAATTCCTGAATTTTACCTCTATAAAAAAGAGATCCTTGAACCTCTTAATTATATAAAATTATTCAAATCAGTTCTTCTATCTAGAGATTAGTCTGACACCAACCGAAAACTTATGTGACACTGATTGTAACTATTGATCGTATCTCAACTTGTCTCATTACACCAACTCAATTACATAAAAATGTTCAAAACATTCATTTCGTCCAAATTTTTCCATTTTCTGCTATACTGTGATATAAAATATATATGCAACATCATACTACTAAATGATCTTATTCACTTGCCCCTAGAAAAATTCAAGGAAAGAACAATTCAAGGAATGTAAGTGATTGGCTAGGTGCCACTACGTCATCCTTGTCTTAAAATATGACAAATATTCCTTACACCCCCACATGACATCGAAAGTGTGTCCAAAAAGAAATCAAATCCGTATTCATAGGTACATACAACAGAGTAGGTATATCTCTCTCTCTCTCTATAAAAAGAAATCAAATCCGTATTCATAGGTACATACAACAGAGTAGGTATATATCTCTCTCTCTCTCTCTATATATATACACATATAATATATGTATATATATAGAGGTACTTTTCTTCTTGTCCCATTCCCAACAGAAGTTTATATAATCATGTTTTGCCTGATCAACAATGACACAGAATATCACTACTTTTTTTCTTCTTTACAATAATAAAGCAACAAGGCAACCGCCAATAACAAAAAATAGGAAATAGTCACTATAATCTCAAAAGCTAAACAACAACATTAGTATCAACAAAATGCCTACGTGGGAGCTTCCCAAAATCGCCCATGTTTTTATAAATTCGTTTTCAAATGCCCCCATTATTAAGACCCTTTACAGCTAAGAGCAACCCACCTCCAATTATCTCCACACATTTGTCTATATGAGCTCTGGATTAACATTTAAACCACTAGAAAAGCACATAACAATAATTTTAAGATCATAATAAGCAAACATTAACTGTTCTTCTAAGTTTTCTAAGCAATGAATGTCCCAACTCTTCTCTCTCTCTGCTTCCTGTTTCTCCTGACCATCTCAAGCACAAGTCATGCTCAACTTAGCAAGGACTACTACAAGAATTCTTGCCCGAATGTCGAGTCCATTGTCCGAACCGCGGTGGAGAGGAAAGTTCAGCTGTCAATTGCGACTGCTCCGGGCACTCTCAGGCTCTTCTTCCATGACTGTTTTGTTCGGGTTTGTTGTTTACTTCTTTCACAAGGAACACAAAAAATTTTGCATTTGTTTTATATTAAGATTGCTACATATATAATGAAAGTTCGATTTTGTTTTTTCGGGGCAGGGATGTGATGCTTCAGTGATGCTGTTTTCTTGGAATAGCACAGCAGAGAAGGATAATTCTGACGATCTTTCTCTGGCGGGGGACGGGTTTGACACGGTTATCAAAGCAAAGGAGGCTGTTGAGCGTGTTCCTGGTTGCAGACAGAAAGTCTCTTGCGCCGACATTCTGGCTTTGGCCGCTAGGGATGTCGTAAGATTGGTAAGTTAGTTTGGAGTGTGTAGTAGAATTCATTTTTGTTCGTTTACCACCGCCGGTGATACATTCACTTTATTTCACCGTTTTGAGTTTTGTTAAGTAAAAAAATTTCAGAATCAGTCACATTTAATTTTTTTATTAAAATAAAAAATTTTCACATAAAGTCACATCTCAATTCAAATTAAAAACTCAAATAAACGAACTAAACGGTCCCTATACATACGTAATAACACGGTCAAGTTGCTATAGTACTGCAATTTGTAGCGTGACAGTTTGGTTTTTCCAAAAGTGTTATTACGTAATAACACGGTCCCTATACATAGTGCTCGTTTCGCTTTTACCTTCTCTCCACGTGATTGTAGTATTCTCTTTTTTCTACATGTTTTTATCAGAAATTGCAATATAAGGGCTTAAGTGAGAACAATTTAAAGTTTATGAGGCAAAGTGAGAGTTTTTAAAATTCAGAGGATAAATTGAGAATAACCATATAGTTCAGTGAGCATCAGTGATAATAATCCAAAAAAAGAAAGTCTTGTTATAGCCCGTGCATGTTTCTATTGCTTAAAGCGGGTATTCATGTGTGGTGAATCAATATAAGCCATGTATTCTGTTATTTTCTGCCCATTTCATAGCCATTAAAAACGACTATGGTAGCATGGTGATATTGGATTATTTGCAAGTGGTTTGGTAGGTTGAAAGTCTCAGGTTTGAGCCACATTAAAATGCGTTTGAGACTATTTTCAGACTTAACTGTTAATGAGACTGAATTGACGGGTTTTTGTTTAGCCAATGCAACGGAAATTTCTGCAAGTAACAAAGTATAGATTTACTTTTGGTGCAGAAAGGGGGACCATCTTATGAAGTAGAACTGGGAAGAAGAGATGGGAGAATCTCTACAAAAGCCAGTGTGCGTCACCAACTTCCTCATCCCGAGTTCAGAGTAAAGAAACTCAAATCAATGTTTGCCTCACATGGTCTCTCTCTAACTGATCTGGTTGCACTATCAGGTACTTTTATTTTATTTTATTTTTTAAAAAACCCTTTTTTAAGTTACCCAAAGAAATCACATATTTTAGAGCACTTCTATTCAGCCTAACCGGTCTTACCCACACTAGACACAAATTAGAGTCGTGTTTAGAATTGATTCCGTTTTTATTTTTCACGTTTTTTAAGTAAGAAAAAATGAAAACGTTTTTAAAACGACGTTTGGCGCAATAAAGACAAAAAACAGAAATGAAAACGATTTTTTTAGTTTAATGTAAAATGAGAGAGTTTGTCGTTTTTCATTTTTTATTTTCGTTTTCTCCTCTCTTGAGCAGAGAGAGGAGAGAGAGACATTAATGAGTTTTTTTATGCTGAAAATAATCTCTTAATGAAACTACCAAATGTCTTTTTAAAAATAATTTTTGTCTGAAATTGAAAACGTTTTCATTTTTATTTTTATACAAAAAACAAAATCATTTTAAAACGAGTTCCAAACACGCACTAGAAAACCCACCTATGGAGCCCATGTAGGTTTTATAAGTAGACTGCATCAGTTTGTGTTTGTGTTTAGTGGGGTTATGGCTCGATCATACTAAATAATTTTTTTTCCATACTTTAATTATAAGGTATAGATTATGATCCAGCTCGCATGTTTATTTTTCTTTTTGTCCCTTTTTATACTCCCTAATAATTTAATGTGACATCGAAAAATGTTATAATCGACATATTATATAAATTGATGTGGTATACTAGTAAAAAGGGGACACAACCGCTCTAATGGGAAAATAATTTTGTTGTAGGAGCACACACAATTGGGTTTGCACACTGCAGCTTTATAGACAAGAGGGTCTACAGTTTCAAAAGCAAGACCAGAATTGATCCAACACTCAACCTGCAATACGCAAAGGAGCTGAAACGACAATGTCCCGAAAACGTTGACCCCAGAATTGTCGTTGGCATGGACCCAAGTTCACCCCAAAAGTTCGACAATGAGTACTACAAGAATCTTCAGCAAGGAAAGGGCCTATTCACCTCTGATCAAACCTTGTTCACTGACAAAAAGGCAAGGGTCATTGTCAACCAATTTGCCTCCAACAACACAGCTTTTCAAGAGGCTTTTGTGAATGCCATGACTAAGCTTGGAAGGATAGGGGTCTTGACTGGAAACCGAGGCGAAATTAGGCGTAATTGCGCCTTTGTAAACTAGATTCACACATGAACTTTCACAAACTTGCAATTCTAGTACTTTTGAAATTTTCTGATTATTTTTTTTTTCCCCCTCCCCTCAGAATCCATGTAAAGAGTATGCTATGCTGATTGTTTGCAATATAACACGGTGAATGTCGCAAGCGTTACAGAGAGTTGAATTGTAAAATCTGTTATTTGTATATGTGGTTGGAATAATTAGGTCTTTGAAGAAAATTAAAGAATTATGTCCCGTTCATTTCACCGATTCAAGTTTAGAATTCAAGCTTTATTACAGTGAAAGACTTTCAGAAACAGTCACATCTAACTTTTTTGTTACAGTAAAAAACTCTCACATAAAGTCACATTTCAACTTAAATTAGCTAACTAAATGGGCCCTTAATTACCGAAATCTGAGATGACAGGAAATCTATACCATAGTTGTTTCCCCAATTCACAGAGCTCAATAGGTGGTCCTGGCATGTTTGGAAGAAGATGACATGAGGCCTCAGCAGACTATGATAGGTAGGTTAAAGTGAATGTGACATTTACAATCTGCAATATAAATGGTTCAGAGCATTTGAGAAGTTTACTTTTTGAAGATTCAGAAGACACATTTTTAAACTAGTTCCATTATAGATGAACTTTGAAAAGCGTGTTATGTATGTTGGGTATTACATAAAAGGCCATTGATAGTGGAAAAAAAGCACAACGAGCAAAATATGAAAATAAAGGCTCCAAGTGCAGACGAAACTGAATCGCGAGTGGAAATCATCGTTCAGTAAAAATAAAAATCACTAGATAAGACTTTCCTCATTATTGGCATCCTGATATTAGTAATCACTGATTAAAAGATGGCAATAATAACCATATATTTTTTACTCTATAATTTAAACTTGACTCTTAGCAAGTAGACCACTGACTAAAAGACACTGAAATTTGGCCTAGTGCAGAATTATTAATTTCCAACGTTTGAAGTACAACAAGCAACAAAATATGCTTTATGAAGAAAAGAATCCCTCAAATCTTATACGACACTCTTTAGAGGTATTTAAAGAACATAATCTGAAAAACTAAGAGAACGATCTTTAATTTTCAGCTCTTATTAATGCAATGTTCATAGTCGATCGCCAAAACCAGAACTTCATGTCCTATTATGTACGGTGATCGATAATGCAAGAACAAATCACATTCAAGATCCGATCAGATGTTAGGAATCGATTGCAGCGAGAAACCTCTCTTGGCCAAGACGCTTCATACAGAAAGAGAAGATAAAGAAAATGTAATTTATCTCGTTTAGCTTTAAAAGAGAAACAGTACTTTTCCTCTGCCTTTAGGTGACATTCAAAAACTAACCAACTAAAATTTCTAGCAAGAGGAAAATTCACCCTATTCTAGACACAAGACTTTTACCAAAAGTTCATCATCATCATCACAGCTTTTTGAGCTTCTTGTCCATGATTAACCATTAGCCTTTTTCTTCGCTTTGAAAACTCTCCTTAGCTCTTCAAACTGTGTAATGTTGTTGAATTGTGTCAATGTCAAGTCCTTTCAGCTTCACCACTGACTCAACATGACCCTTGAGTGTATGCAGTTCCCGAAGCCTGCAGCAATAATCCAAACAAATATTTTCTTAGAATAACATACTTTCTTTTCATCCCAGACAGTAAATTGGGGGAAATGTAATTTTTTCAACATAAATTCCCTATTCTTATTACTACAAAATTTCATACTAAGAGGCATTCTTGTTTATGAAATCCTATGAAGGCTTAGACATGAAAAACAGCCTAGTATGGCAATCAAAACCCCTGGTTTCGCCCCAATGCAAGTCGAACCACCAGGCTTTTATATGCAATAATCATGTTTATAATGTCTATGGTATATTAGCTTGCCTTGCAACTTCAGCCCGCCGCTTAGCTTGTTCTGCAATCTCTGAAAGCTCCCGGTAACTGCTCTTTTCCGGGAAAAGGTTGGTGCTTTCAGGTGGCTGAAGACCATGTAGAGTCCTCTGTGCTGCAGCCCACTGTGCTTCCCTCTCTTCTTTACCGTAGTCTTTCTTGGTGGTGAAGGCAGTCTGTTATGACAATAAAGCATGTAAGCAACACCAATGACTTCCTTTAACTGGAATTTCTATTGAACTTTGAAAAATATCATACGAATAATGTACCTTGTTCTCCAGGAGGTTATCCCAAGCTTTTCCACTCAGAATGTAGCGGATTGCAAATTTGAGGAAATCAAGAGGAACATATGTTACCAAACTGTATAGCCAGATTACACCAGCCCAGCCCCAGCCAGCACCCTTTATTCGTGCGAAACCCCAGTTTGCATAGACGGCTATGAGAGTTGCCACCTGATAATTAGAGAATTGACCTTGACATCAATATATAGAATAAACTATTGGCATTTGACACTGACAATTTAACTACAGAATGTCACAATAAATAGCTGAATTAAGGTTAGTGTGGTACTAAGTTATCACAATAATGTTTATAACAGGTTTTTAAAAAAATTCTAGTGCAGCATAAACCATGATAATGTGTACAAACAAACAAACATTACCAGTTGTGCGATTACGAAGGCGCCGAGTAAAAGAAGTCCAGGGAGTTCAACGTAGGACCAGCTGCGAGACCTCGTGACAAATATGAGGGCCTGACTCACAATACTCACTTGCAGGTACAGCGCTGCCATCATTTCCTTGGGGTTATCCCTCAATGATCTTACACCAAATTTGTCCTGTATAAAAAAAAAAGTAAATAAATAAAAGATGAGGAGAACGATAATCCAATCCAACCAACAAACTTATAGGTTAGCTGAAGATATAAGACATGTACTTACGGAGAAGAAGTTGGTATCTTTCATGACCCAGAAGAAGATGACAGTCATTAGTGCCAAGTAACCTCCAAGCACAATGCCAGTGGCAAAAATCTCTCTCAGTTTCCAGCTGTCTGGTTGTGGGGATGGCTTCACTCTGTCTTTGGATATTGTCATGATTGTTCCTGGAAGTTTGGTCAAGAAAAGATTCAGATTCATGTTTCACAAGTAGTTGTAAGCTGTACAAACTAAACTGGGTTCAATCAACCAGACAATAAGACAAAGTGATCTCACCGTCGTTTAGGATGGCAATGATCAAAACCATGAAGGGCGCAAAGTCAAATTTCCATATCAGAGCAATGAACAAGAAGCCAAACTGTCAAATTAGACATAATGAGAACATGCACGAAATCTAAAAAATATGAAAAGGTTAGCTTGCAGCATTTGCATCACAAAATCTTTATGTGCTACACTTACCACTATTCTGATGGTAATTGAAACTGCATATATCTACAAAAGAAAAAAAAAATTTGAAAGAAAATAAGGTTAGAGATTTGAGAAATATAATCATAAAGCTTTCTCAATTGCTGAATAAGAGCATAAATAATCAACTAACGGTGTAGTTCTTCATTCTTTGGAAAATGGCCCTGCTGGTCAGCACTGCACTGATAATAACACTCAACCCAGGTTCAGTAAGGACAATGTCTGAGGCACTTCTAGCAGCATCAGTAGCATCAGCAACAGCAATACCAATATCTGCTTTCTTTAGTGCAGGGGCATCATTGACACCATCTCCTGTCATTCCACATATGTGCTTCCTCTCCTGCAGCCTCTTTACGATTTCATACTTGTGTTCTATCATGTGGAGAAAAAGATTGTCAGGACAAGAGTACAAATGGACAAGTTAGGACAATATTCAGGCGTCAGGAGCCAAACTATATAATATGGCAGACACACAGCATATCCAGAAGAGCAGGGGGGGGGGGGGTGCGGGGGGGGGGGGGGGGACAAAAGAAGATTCATAATTCTTAGAAGACTTAGATAACGAGTCATAGGGACCCATTAACTCTACTATTTAGGAAGACAAAGGGATTAAGCATATTTATGGAAAGAGAATCGCAAATCCACCTGGAAAAACTCCAGCAAATCCGTCAGCCTTCTCAATCAATTCGTCGACTGGAAGTGCCGCAATGTTTGCATCTTTGTCTTGACCGAGCAATGATGAAGATGGGTACATGTTTGTTCCCATACCAAGCCTCCGACCAGTTTCCTTAGCAATGGCCAGCTGATCCCCTGGGAAATGAAGAAATTGTAAGCAGATTACATACAATGATATAAAAGAAAAGGCTGCAATACTTAGATAAATGAGAATAAAACAATTATAATATTCAGAGAAGTGGTCGAAGGGAATGTTAATTTAACAAGACTTACCAGTAATCATCTTAACATTGACACCAAGGTTGAGAGCTCTTCGAATAGTTTCAGCACTGTCATGTCTAGGAGGATCAAAGAGAGGCAGCAGACCAACAAATTGCCATGGTGCTCCTGCACTCTCTTTTGTCTTCTCGGGTACTTCCTGAGAAATAAATATGCAGGTACCAGTTAGAATATATTCAACTAACATAGCAATGAAGAAATTCTTTGTTACATTTTCCTACCTGTCTTGCAACGGCTAAAGAACGAAGTCCACGTTCAGCAAACTTATCAATTACTGCATGAACCTTTTTCTTGACATCTTCTCTGCAGTTGCACAGGGTAATTATCTGTTCGAAAACATGAGAAACTAATGAATTGCTGTTCTTTCAAAAGGTTTGTCGCTCCACATCACAAATATGAATTACCTGTTCAGGGGCTCCTTTGCTAGCTCGATGCCAGCTTCCCTCAGAATCAATGTAGGTCAGAGCAGTTCTCTTGTCAACAGGGTTAAATGGAAGAAAGTGGACCTCTCTTATGCCAGCTCTTGCCTGCCAATTTCATATAATCACATAAAAGCTCCAACTAAAAAATCTCAGTCAAAATAATAGACGAAAACAATAAAAAGAAAGGATGGTTGTACTCTGTTATACCTCCTTTGGATCTGCAAGCATTCCAACAATTGCAGCATCAATAGCATCCTGATTTTCAGTCCTTGAAGCCCTAGCTGCAAGAAGGATGACGTACTCCTTTTCCACACCTTTGGCAAACACTTCAATAAGGTTTCTGTCAACAGTCAACTTGTTCAGGGTCAGAGTTCCTGTCTTGTCACTGCAGAGGACATCCATGCCAGCCATTTCCTCAATGGCTGTCATTCTTTTGGTAATAGCACCTTGTTGAGAAAGCCTGTGGGAACCAATAGCCATCGTGACAGATAAAACAGTTGGCATGGCAATTGGAATTCCTCCAATCAAGAGAACCAGCAAATTGTCAATTCCATCCCTATACTTGCGGTGCTGGATTGGGTACATGACTATGATCTCGATTATTATACCAACAGCAATCGAACAAATGCAGAAGTTACCAATAGCAGTAAGAACTTTCTGGAAGTGTCCAACTTGGTTGGTGCTGTCCACCAGATGGGCAGCTTTACCAAAGAAGGTGTGCACACCAGTTGCAATCACAACTGCTTCAATTTCACCTTGTTTACATGTTGAGCCAGAAAACACTTCTTCTGAGGGATGCTTGGTGACAGGAAGGGACTCTCCAGTTAGAGCAGATTGATCAATCTTTAAAGGATCACCCTCGAGAAGACGAGCATCAGCAGGAATAATATCTCCCAACTTAATGCTGATTATGTCTCCTGGAACCAGAATGGCAGCATCTTGCTCAGTCCATCGACCATCTCTAAGAACCTATGTATTATGGCAAGAAATATATAAGAAAGATTTAAAATATTAGCAGGAAATAAAGTAATCAAGTGAAGCTTGACTGTTTTCTTTCACCTTAGTCTTGGGAGCAAGACCAGCCATGAGGGCTGCCGCTGCATTACCAGCATTGTTTTCCTCAATAAAACTGATGGTAGAGTTGATCAACAGCAAGACAATGATACCAACAAAGTCCTGCCAATCCGGAGGCCTCCCATCACCATTTGCCAAGGCAATAGCCATCAAAGCAGCAGCTTCCATGACCCAGGACAAAGGATTCCACATAAAGCCCAGAAACTTGAGAAATTTGCTTTCCTGTTTTAAAAACATAAAGTCATGACATGCTACCACATAGTCTTATGGAACAGGAGATATGAAAACGTAGATAGAAACAAGCCATCAGTCACACGTTCTGATGAACCCAACCTTTTTCTCTTCCAATTTGTTGGGTCCAAAAACTTGGAGCCGGTTGGCACCTTCTTCTGATGTTAGCCCTTGCCTTGTGCATTTCAACTGTTCAAAGACTTCCTCCATTGGAATCCGTTCCTGTAACCAACAACGAAGTTAAGCATGAATAAGCCATCAAAATCATTCTCATATTTATGCAACCATTGCCAAGCTCATCACAATTCTGTGAAAATTTATCCATTCATAGATCACCTATATTCCATGTCTAACTTCATGTTTTGACAAGACATGCAAAACTTTGTTCTGATCACTCTATGAACTGGTCACAGAAAATGAAGCCTGAATCCAGTGGAATGTTATTCTCCACTGATGATAGACTGGCTAGGGCACTATTCATACTTTAGACCAACACTCGATAACACGCCCGTTTTTCCTCTTTTTGAATTTCTGTTCAAGTGTTTGACACATTTTTTTTATTGTCGCCAGTAATATTACATTATATGAGACCATGATGACGTTGTAAACCCCAAAACATTGGAAAATAAAGACCCAAAAAAACCCACACAAAGGGGTTCCAACCACCTAATTGTCACGGGAAATATAAGGTCATGGTACACTAAACAGCTCAACTTTAGTCAAAACACATGTGAACTCTTATCACATTTTTTCCCATCATGGTTTGGCAAGAGATGTAAAGCCAAAAGGTCATAAAATATGGTCACTCTCTACTTGACTTCAAGTTTTTTAACTTGGTAAATCAATTAATTAAGTAAGAACTCGTTTGGTTCATGAATTAAAACTATGAGATTAGAATCATTTTTTATTTACGTGTGTTTTTTGTAAGAAAAAATACTATAGCAAATCATGAATCATGATTCGAATCAGAGAACGAATTCTTAAACCAAACGGGGTCTAAATGTTTGTTTGTAATTAATGGCATAATTTAAGTGATACTGTTTCAAGATAGTAGTAATGAAAAAGTAATTTTAAATTTTTCTCCAAACAAAAAGAAATATTTATACATGTATTTATACATTTATAATTTCTTGGATCAATAAATAAAGACGTAAATTTCGAATATATGTACAGTCAATTTCAAAATTGATTTTAATATTAGCTAAAATTAAATAGTTGTAAAAAAGAATAAAGTACAAAAAGTACAACGGAAGGTACGCCAAATCCCGAAATAAGGAGGACAAAAAATTCCGGAGAACTTGACAAATACTGTAGAATAAATTAATAAATTAGCCACCAAGTCAAATCAGGTCTTTATATTTCTTCGATAATACCGAACTCAGGTCTTTTTCAGATCTCAAATCGGAACCAACCAAAAGACCCTCAACGGGAAATATGGGTCAAATTGAAATTCTACTTCTTTTTTTTTTTTTTTTTAACGAAGAAGAGGAAAATACGTGCCACCCGCGCCTGAGACGGCGCGTGCTAACATAGTAAGAGCAGGAAAAAAATGAAAAAAAAAATTAAGAAAATAAAAGTAAAAATAAGCAATTTTTCTTTAAAAGCATTTTTATTTCCTGTTCTATTCTATTCTATTCTCCTTTCACCCACGTTCTCTAAAGAAAGCGTGCGTTGTCAAAGCCGCTTATTCCATGTGATTGGGTGCGTATTTCACTGATGCTCCTCAGACAGACTAAAAGCACGAAAAATATATAATTTATATATTTAAAAAAAATGATAATAATTTCTCTTTATTCAACGGGTACGATGGCATGCTTGAAATTTAAGCAAAAAAGAGACGTGTAATCTGGGCCGTCGTTTCATCAGTGGACCCACTATATGTGGTCCACGTGTCGTGGACGCTTCAGATTCACTGCTACTGTAGCTCAAAAAGGTTTCCATTTGTCGCCGTCGTTGCAATCGAACCACCAACATCATCTTTTCAATATCGGCGAAGTGACAGAATCAAAAAAAGGCTCAGGCCATACCCAGAGTTAATTATATTTCATTTCCTTTAAAAAATTTATCGAAAATAAAAATCTAGATTTTCTTTTTCCTCTTTTTCAGTGGAAACGAGATCTCCTGTTTGCTAAATGGAATAAATGACGAAGACGTTAGCAAACGAACGTTTCGTTGACGACTTCAGGAGAAAGATTCGCAGAAGAATAAGCAAAACTAATAAATAAATCTCAAAATCATCATATATATATACACACACATATAGACATATATATACACACACGTATATATATGTATGGATATTTATAGATTGCACTGCACTCACTTCGTCGTCCAAGTAAGAAAGCGAAAAGAAAAACCGAAAGGAATTCAATATCGATTTTCATAGCGTAAACGAACAAAATTTTACCGGAAACCAAAACAACGTGAAACTTTCAAAACAAATTTATTACTTCAGTTTCACTCCATTTTCTCAGCAACCAAACAGCAAGGCACAACAGCAAGAACAATGAAACAGAGAAAACAGAGATAGAGAGAAAGTGTTTTACCAGATCGACGGACTCATTTTTTATCTCTTCAAGAGTGATTCCTTTGTCACCTCCCATGTTCGGAAGCACGAGAAGAGGAAGGCGATTCTTAGCGGAAACCTAACAAAGATTGGTAGAGAGAGAGAGAGAGATGAGAGAGAGAGCTCTTAGAGAGTCATGGCGGAAGAAGAAAAAAAAGGAAGCAAATCCCAGTGAGAGAGGATTTTCTTTCCCACTGTTGAAAAGTCTGAAAATGAGAAAAAAGAGGAAAAGGAAAAATCGATTTTGGTTTCCCACTGTTGAAAAGTCTGAAAATGAGAAAAAAGAGGAAAAGGAAAATCGATTTTGGTTTTTTTTTTTTTTTTTTTTTTTTCCGTTCTCTCTTTGTGGATGGATGATGGGAGAGGCACCAGAGACTCGGACTCTTGGATTCATATATATACCAAAAGTTTTGGGCTCTGTTGGGCCGGGCCCCACTTCAGTCAGTCAATTTTTGTGCCTCACTGGGCCCCACATCTCTTTTGCCACGCGCCGTCTTGACGCGTTTGTCTGTGACGAGCGAAAGGGGACAGGCCGGTGAGGATGGGGTTTTGGTTTTAGGGCGGTGATCCGGTGGGGTTAGGCACATGATTAAGAGGGGAAAATGGGAATGCATTGTAGATGGACTTTTTTTTTTTTTTTTTTTGAGATTCTCGAGTACGCTTGACGTATCAGTATATTAAGTTTTTTTAATTGTTAGATTTGTATATTTTTTAATTTTTATGTGATTTTATATAGATCTAATAAATAAAAAATGTGATCTATTAATATATTAATGTACTAGAAAATATGCTTTTATTTTTTGATGGGGATGTGGGGGTGGATATGGGGTTTTCCTTTTCTTGATTTTGCCCTAACTAATTTTTTCCTTTTCTCCTATAAAAAGCCAAAACTTCATTTATAAGGGTCAACTTAATAAACTTTTCATTTCCCTTCCTTTTGCTAATAAAAAATTTACATTTGTTTGTTATTCATTTCTCGTATTTTGTTTTCTTTATAGTACGTAAAATCTTAAAAGATTTCCTAAAAAAAATCTGGAAAGAAAAGGAAATACCAATACTTGGATTCCCTTTATTTACTTTTTTTTAAGGGACAAATACTTGGATTTAATTTGCAATTATACATTATTTTGAGAATCTTTCGGAGATGTGTCACAAATGGCAGGTATATGTCATTAGACTCATTACTCATTAGTGAACCATGAAGGTTCACTTAAGTTAAAAAAAAAAAAAAAAAGACAAATAGTGCAAAATTTTCATTCTAAATCGTCTTTTAAAAGTTAGTATTTTCCATTGCCAATCATAATTAATGGAAATGAATTACTTAGTTTTATGGCTTGCAAACTAAAGAGGACATAAAATCCTTGAATTTTACTAAATTTTGAAGAGTGACATTTGGAGGGAAAAAAAAATCGAAACAAATTATTTTTATTTTTTTAAAGGAAGTTCCAAAGAATTTTAGGACCTACACTCTACCATCAGTTGGACTGATTAAGATATTTTATTTAATAAAATACTGTCTTCAAATAGCCATTTGGTATGTAAAATCGAACAAACAAAGAGTCGAACATAAAAAGGGTATTGTTGTAAGTGGCATTTGTTTATTTTTCTCTTTCTAAATCTTATCAAATAGGGACCATAAACATTTCCTTTGAATCCATGTAGGCGAAAACCAAAATTTCCATTGCGATAATTAATAAACGTAGAAAACCATGTCTTTTTGGATTAGGTGGTAGGCACCACTGCGATAGTGCCTTTTCACTAATTTTTAGGGGGGGGGGGGAATTTTCGTTAATACCTCCTTCGACCATTAAGTAATATCTAATATGTACTTTGTAACTTCATGAAAATATTAAATTTTTTCTCCATATATATTTTATTTGTCATTATCTCAGCCTTTTTCATATATTCACATTCATATAATACAATTTTTTTGTGCGTGTATAATTTATTGCGCACTACTCTTTTTCTTGATTAGCATATTGCTATCTGACGTTTTATTTTGAAAATAAAAGCACATAAAGCAAGCCGCGGTGTGTCAAGGCATTTGTTTGGGAAATGGAGAACATTCTTATACCTAATGTTAGGAGAGGGAGGGGTAGATTAAAAATTATGTGGACCGAAGAAGTTAGGAAATACATTCTAGATCTATGTCTTTAGGAAAGTTTAATTTCGAACAGAGCTGCGTAAAAAAATGAAATCCATATAGCCGACCCCAATTAAGTTGGGATTAAGACTTGTTGTTGTTGTATTGATTGTATTCAGCTAAAAGAAGATACAAATATAATGAGAACAATAACGACATGCCTATGGTACTAGCATTTTTCTCCAAATATTTTTCACGTGTACAGTAGTGATCATGGTGTTGATTTTAACTCTAACAAACATCTATACAAATGATCCTATAGTACATGGATAAAACTTTTATTGAGACTAGATCCATCAGTAAAATATGATGAAACTCAAGGAGAAAAACATACACACAAAACTGACAACAGGAAATTTACTTAACACACCAATAATCGAGATACGTAAAGCTTGTTTTGACAAAATCTCTACAATCGATGAAGTCGTCTGATTAATTGAGTACAAGCAACCTGTAGGATTGAGGCCACAACTAACCCTGTATAAACACATGTATAACGAGCTAAAACATTGTCACGACATAGATATGGAAAACCACAAGTAAACTTGAAAGGCAGAGAGACCACCATTTATTTTTATAAACTCAAAAACAAAAACAAAAACCTATAAGGCGGAATCAACATCACCATTATTTGACACAACTATCCACCACAAAATGAAAACAAAACCCTAGTAACACAAAAAAAAAAAAAACCATCAAAGACAACTCGACTCACGCACCAAAGATGCAAGGAAACGTAGAGCCGCAAGGAGCCATAACCACAATAGACGGATCACAACTATGCCGACGCTGGCAATTCCCTACTACACCGCGCCTACCTCCAAATCCTTCAATGTGGAATCAAAGTTCCGTTTTTAGGCCGAAAATCTAAGGGCCAACAAAGCACCAGTGCAAGATTCCGGCCTAAGTGAGGGGGACACACAAAGAGATGTATATATTCTTAGTTCCTCACTTTAGTTTTGTTAAATTTTTATTATTGATTTTACAAGTAAACACACGATTAAATGAGATAGAATTGTTACTTGTTCTCTCTTTTCTTTAAATGCGAAACAAGCGTGTTCTAATTCTGATAACAAATAACCATCTGAGTTTGAATATAATCTCACAACCGAATAAGTGTGCTAAAATATCAATGTAGTTTATACAAAAATAAAAAGTTGAGAGAATTATTGAACTTACCTTAAGAATACATAAGTCTTGATTTTTACTCCTTATTATTGATTAATATCTTTTTTGTGTAATATAATTATTTGCTTAAAAAAATATTAATTAAGAATAATGAGTAAAACTCTGAATATAATCTCACAACCGAATAAGTGTGCTAAAATATCAATGTAGTTTATACAAAAATAAAAAGTTGAGAGAATTATTGAACTTACCTTAAGAATACATAAGTCTTGATTTTTACTCCTTATTATTGATTAATATCTTTTTTGTGTAATATAATTATTTGCTTAAAAAAATATTAATTAAGAATAATGAGTAAAACTCTAGGGCCCGTTTAGTTCGTTGATTCGAGTTTTTAATTCGAGTTGAGATGTGATTTTATGTGAGAGCTTTTTACTGTAGCAAAAAAGTTAGATGTGATTGTTTGTGAGAGCTTTTTACTGTAGCAAAACT